TGGCGCCGGCAGCTCCCTGTAGCCGGGTGCCGGTTGGAATTGTGTGGTAGCCACACCTCCCTGGCACGGTTCCCCTGTGACCCTGCCCACCGGCGTCAGGCCACATGTCCGGCAGTTGGTATAGTGGCTGAAGTGGCCGCTCAGGCTTTCCCTGCCTGGTGCATGCCCCTTCGAGACAGTCTGGAAGGCTCCCGGCGTGCATTTTGGAGCCACAGTCTACGTATTTGGCCGTGGCCAGCTGTGAGTGTGGACAAAATTCCGCTTACTTGCAGCCATGGAAGCCCCAGTGGCAGAGAGGTCAACAGGCTCAGCCTGGAGCTTGCATCTAGGGCCACCCTGGGGTCAGTGGCCTGCAAGGCCTTAGTGCTCTGTCCTCTGCAGTTTGAGCCAGGCCGCAGCGCAGAGGAGATCCGGAATGTTCTGGCAGAAACTCCGGGACCCCAGCATCAACCAAGCAGGAGTGGAGCGGGAGGGATGGAACACAGCTGCAGGCGATCGCGGCTGCACACAGCCACTTGGAGTGGCGAAGATTGCAGAGGCTGGGGGTAAGGACCTGGCCTGGACCCCCAGGTGGCCAGAGAGCCTGAGGGCGTTGGGCCCTATTAGCGGAGGGTGGCGGACAGGTGCGGGGTCCCAGTCTCACTCCGCACCGGGTTTCTGGTGTCTGCCACCCTCCAGGCTGTGGCCTTGGGGAATAGAGCCCTGCCCAAGCCCTCTCTTGCCACTAGAGCCGTATTGCCGCAGCTGCCCTGGCTTCCTAGTCCCCCCTTCCAGGTCTCCCCATACAGCCAGTGCGTGCCAGCGACCGGGGTCTGTCCTCTTTCCTTAATTTCCCGTCTTCCTCTGTCTCCATCAGCCTCGGGAGTTTATTCTGGTTGATTGGTTCTACAGGATGCTTTTTCCCTAGTGTGAGTTCTTGTGCTTTCTGGTTCCTGAGTGAGGTCAAATCAGTTCTTCACTGACCTTCGGGTCTCTTTGTCATCTGATACGAGGCTTGTAGGCCCACACTCTTCTGAGCAGCTTTGGTGTGAACCTTTCTTTTCGTAGATTTCCAGAGGGTGGTTTCCATTTCTATGCCTCTTTGGACCTTAGTTTACTAGGAATGATGGTTGTCCATTCTTGTAAATAGTGGGTTCCTGGGGTTCTTGTGGTTGGTTCGCTTATCTGAATTTTGATGGAACATGGAACTAGGGGCATGATGGTACAATCTCATCTTCAAATATGTACTTTTTTTATGGCAGAAGCACCTGAATTTATGTAAACCAGCTAAACTTGCCAAAACTGTTTTAGAAAAAGGAGCCGGGCGGCGGTGGCTCAAGCCTGTAATCCCAGCACTTTGGGAGGCCGACTGCGAGCTGCTTGGGGCTCAGACCTGTCCCCGACTTACGTTAATATTGGAAATCTTCTCCCAGTCGTGGCTGTCCAGCCTGTTTCCCAGCAAGGCCTCTTCCGGAAGCTGGCTGGAGGAAGGGATGAGGGTATTGGCGCCACGCCTGGCCTGTGGGCTCCCCTGGGCCCTCCCGGGAGGCCTCCTCACTTGATGTCCTGGATCTCCTTCTCGGCTTCCCTGGCCTGCTTCTCCAGGGCCTGCTTCTCCATCTCACTGGAGACTTTGCTCTGCTTCTGGTGCAAGTACTCAAGCCTGCAAAGCAGAGCAGAGGCAGAAGGGCTGCAGGCAGAAGGGCTGCTGGTGGGGGACGGGTTCTCTGCGCAGTATAGAGCAAAGAGTGTGAGCTCAGCAGAGATTCCAAGCCTCCTCACCCTCCCTGCCTCAGCCTCCTCACCCATGAAAGATGCTGTAGCACCCACCTCCAGGCTGCCACTGGGGTGGGAAGGGCTGCAGTGCCTGCTGGCCCCCATGTCTCAGAGCCTCGCCACAGCCCTCCGGAGCCTCAGTGCCCCAGCTCCCAGCCTATGCCTGCCTGCTGGCCCCCATGTCTAAGAGCCTTGGCACAGCCCTCCGGAGCCTCAGTGCCCCAGCTCCCAGCCTGTGCCTGCCTGCTGGCCACCATGTCTCAGAGCCTCGCCACAGCCCTCCAGAACCTCAGTGCCCCAGCTCCCAGCCTGTGCCTGGCACAGAGACACAGCCATGGGCAGATGTCCTGACTGGTGCCCAGTGAGGAGGCTGGAGGCTGTGAAGTCACAGTAAAGAACCACGCCCCCAAGCAGGCCAGGGAGGAAAACCCAGCTCTCCCCAAGCCTGAGGAGAGACCCACCGTTGTCACTGCAAACCCTGACCATACACATCAGGCCACGGCTGGCAGGCAGGCCCCAGGACCCCTGGCCTGGCCAAAAGCCTCTCAGTGCCCAGAGATGTCCTGGCAGCTTGTATCCTAAAGGCACCCCCTCTGCCTTGAGAGCTCATGGTGGCCACACAGAAGACAGGTGGGGACCCGCTGTGCTGCTGACGGAGTGGCCAACAAGGTGCTGCTGGGTCTCTGGGCTCTGGGAGCAGCTCTGTCTTTGACCAAAGTTATCAGGACAGCAGCGCCTTCTATCGTGTGTGGACAATAAGGCCGTGCTGTGCCTTGCTTTGGTCACATGATATCACCCCATCAGCACACACCAGGTTTCAGGCACAGGGAAAGACAGACCCAGAGAAGAGAAGCTGCCCGAGCCACACCCCTCATCATGGCCGTGGTGACCACCCCGCGCCCCGAGCCACACCCCTCAATGTGGCCGTGTGGACTGATCCTGTGCTTAGCCGCCTGGCCACGAGGAATCCCCTTTCAGGGCATCAAGTCCAGGCATCAGCACCTCTCCGTGGGTCGGCAGGACCTGCTGTGGAGAACAGGCTCGCAGCTAAGCTGAACCTCTGCCAAGCTCACATCAGCCAGCCTTCACTTTTCCTGTTGGCTGGGAAAGGTTGTTTGTTTTTGAGACAGGGTCTGGCTCTGTTGCCCAGGCTGGAACACAGTGGTACAATCACAGCTCACTGCAGCCTTGACCTCTTGGGCTCAGTCGATCCTCCCACCTCAGCCTCCTGAGTAGCTGGGACCACAGGCGTGCACCACCACACCCGGCTAACTTTTTTTACTTTTTGAAGAGATGGGGTCTCATCATGTTGCCCAGGCTGGGCTTGAACTCCTGCGCTCAAGAGATCCTCCTGCCTTGGCCTCCCAAAGTGCTAGGATTCCAGGCGTGAACCCTGCACCCAGCCTCAAGGCCATTTTTGACCTTCGTTTTTAGACTTACTTCAGTAACTTGGGCTGAAGCAATCGCTGCAGGCGGTCACTCACCACTGACTTTCGGAGCAAGGCCTTTTCCCAGTTTTTCCCTGAGGAGAAGCCACAGTGCCATCACTGAGGGTCTGGATCCTCTCCACGGCCCACTCCCGTGGTCGGTGTACACTTTCCCCAGGCAGTGATGGGGGCCCCACAGCGAGTAAGCAGCACACCAGGCCCACAGGTGAGACCCCTCCACCCAGCCGACATAGCTCCACCCGAGGCTTGGCGCCAGCTCACGGGCAGAGCTGCCAGGGCTTTACGGCCCAAGACAAGGCAGGGAGACTGAGTAAGACGGTAGGGTGTGGCCTGGCCCGTCCCGCATGACTGGCGTCCTGGAAAGGACCTGCTCAATGTGAAAAGGCAGGGGTCAAGGAGCCAGTCCCAGTGGTCAAGGCCTGAAGGAGCCATGAGGTCACAACAGAGAAAGGTCTGAGAACTTAAGAAACTGGGGAAAGCAGGGCCGTGGGGAGGGGTCCCCCGAGTTCAGCGGTGCCGCATGGCCGGCTGGGGCTCTTACATTTGGTCACGAGGAGCTCCTCGAAAGCCTTGATCCCCTGGGCAGCCTTCTCTCGTGTGTCCTCGTTGGCAGGGGGCCCCTGTCAGGGTGCACAGCATCACCACAGGCACAGACCACGTGTGCTCCCTGCAGGCCCAGCACGTCCATCCAGAGCCCACAAAAGGACTTGGGCCCCCTGCCTCCTGCCTTCCCGTACTGTGAGGCTGGCGGGTGCAACCCTACCGGCCAATCCATGAGGCCTGCTGCGGTCACGCCTCGCACAGGCAACACTGGCACCTCCATGAGGGCTTGCTCATCGCTTCACAGGGCAGTCCGGGCAGCCCAGCGCAGAGCAGAGGGCAGCCTGCCCACCACGGAGGAGGCAGTTTGAAGGAGGTTGGCCAATGTTATCTTGAACTCACGGGAATTCACGACTCCCCGCAGCAGGACTTGGGGACAAGGGCCCTTCCCACGGTGCACAGAGCCTCGCCGACAAGAGCAGGGCCTGGGCCACTCACCACACCCGTGACCTTGTCCTTGAAATACGGCTTCATGAAGTGCCCCATGTATGTGCTTGGGGGCAGGCTCCTGCCATCCTTCACCTTGGTGCCTTTGGACCCAGCCAGATCCCTCATGAGCTCCTCCTGTGACAGACACAAGGCAGGGATCCCTCTGTGGACCAGCAGTAGCGACTCTCCCTGTGGAGGGGACCCAGGGCAGAGGAGAGGCAGGAAGCTGGGGAGCCCTGGACCTGGGAGGTCCAGCTGCGGAGGGCTCTGGGGTTGGGGAGGCGTGGACACCGGGGGCCGAGGCCCGTCCCACCTGTTGCTCCCGGTTCTGGGCCAGCAGCAGGTTGGCCTCAGCCAGCTTCTCTTGGATGACCTCCTGGTAGACCATGTTCAGCTGCAGGCAGGTCTCCGGATCTTCAGGGAGGGTTTTATCCTTGGGGTCGTCCTCATCATTGCTGGCTTCACCCCACCTTTCTTCTTCCTGGTTACGAGCAAGAAATGGCATGTGAGGGGATGAGACATGGATGTTGCCCTGTCCTCGGGAGCCAGTCGCCCATCGCTGGGCCTCTGGGACACCGAGGCAGCTCCAGCATAGCAACACCCAGTGTGGCAGCAGGAGGCGACCCTGGTGGGCAGCAGGAGGGCGTCTGAGTTTGGGAGCGGAGCCTGCTGCTCTCGAGGTGGCCCGTGTGTGCCTTTCCTAATCCACGGCAGGTGGAGCCTCCTGCCTGGAATGCACCAGGGCTGGGACTGCCGCGAGGCAGGAGCTTTCCAGGACCACACGCATCCTCGTGAACCCTGAACTCTGCCCTGAGCCCCTGTGGTGTGAATCGCCAGCGAAGCACGGGGAGCAGGCGTGTGTGGGAGGAAAGTCTCCGCAGAGCCAGGAAGTGGACGCGCTGAAAACGCCCGTCGGGACCCGGGGAGGCGCCCACGGGCTACGGCAGGTGCTCACCCACAGAAGGCAGACCACACGGCCACGCTAACGTGAGGCGACTCAGTACCTACTAACTCCGTGGAAAAAGGAAGCAGCAAATCGCCAACGTTTTCCAACGTAAACAAAAGGCAGCTAACTAAACAACGACTGGCCTCACAGAGCGGCTGCCACGTGCTGTTTAGGTGCTCGTGTATTTTTCTTTTTTTTGAGAGAGGGTCTCACTCCGTCACCCCGGCTGGAGGACAGTGGTGCAATCACAGCTCACTGAAGCCTCGACCTCCTGGGCTCAAGTGATCCTCCCGCCTCAGCCACCCAAGTAGCTGGGTCCACAGCCACGTGCCACTGCACCAGCTAGTTTTTGTATAGCTGCTCGTGTTAGCTGACTTGTGCTGGAAACGTCCCTGCTGCCCCACAGGAATCTGAGGCACAGAGCGTTGAGCTGTGAGGGGCAGGACCCAGGTGCACAACTCACAGCTTTCCATGAGTGACAGATGCCATGCAGGAGACGGAGGCATACAGCCATGAGCTCAGAAAAAAGCCAAGGGGTGTGATCACCAAGCTGTTAACAGTGGTTATTTCTGGGGACAATTTCAACGACAAACGCTTTCTGATTTTTTTTTTAAATACAAACGCGCATCATTTTCATAATGCAGAAAAACCAATATGGATTCAAACCACACCCCCTCCCAGGCCACTTTGGAAGGTGCTGGCAGGCCTGACCCAGTGGCACAGCCAGATCAGGCCAGCAGTTACCGAGATCAGGGGATCGGCAGGGTCCAAGTCCTCAGAAGGCAGTGACTCTGTCAGAAACACAAGCAACACAGTGTTGGTGACCAGCGTCTGGGTCGGCGTGCGGGCGCAGCTCACCACTGCTTCTTGGGCAGAGGAGAGAGGGCCTGGGGCTGTGAAGCGGTGGGAGCGCCTCAGGCTGAGGCTTGCAATGAGCGGACCTTCCCTCTCTGACAGCAGGGTGGGCAATGGACCATGCCGGGTTAGCTAGATAGAGAAGACTCTGGCCACACACTGGGGCACTCCAGGCACACAGGACAAAGCTACACAGCGTTCACTGGACGGCACAGGCTATCTCGCACTGGAGAGACAGACGGAGAAAGCCTAGCAGAAAATGGACCTGTCCTTCGGGAGCTCCGCCAGTCAGATGGAAGGTGCGGACGTAGAGGCCCTGACCACAGAGAAAGACAGCAGGGTGCCTCAGAGGCAGGCCCTAGGTCTGGGAGAGGTGGGAAACAAGGCTGGGGCGTATCCTGTCAGGGAGCAGCTGGTGGGGTTGGGGTAGGCTCAGAAGATAAAGGCAGCATGGAGGGGAGCACGTGGGGAGGGGAGTACGTGGGGAGGGGAGGCTGTGGGGTGGGGAGCCTATGGGCCGTGGAGCACATGGAGTGGGGAGCACGTGTGGTAGGGAGCACATGGGGAGGGGAGCACGTGGGGAGGGGAGCACGTGGGGTGGGGAGCACATTGGGGTGGGGAGCACATTGGGGTGGGGAGCACACTGGGAGGGGTGCATGTGAGGAGCAGAGATGCTGGGGGTGTGAGCTGTGGTGACCATCAGGCATGGACTGTCCAGGCTGCCATCGGGTGAGCTCCAGGCTCGCCCTCTCCTCTCAGGATGGTCCATTCCAGAAGCCCTGCACAGGCCCAAGGAGGCCAGGGCCAGACCCTGGGAGGTCTAGAGCCCAGGGCACACACACAGCCAGCTGGCTCAGGGGCTAGCAAACATGGAACTGTCAGAAGCTCTCTGGCTGGAGTACAGGCAAACACCAGTGTTGGCAAAAAAATTGGGCCTAGTCTGTACCAGCCATCGTTTTATTACTGTTGTTATTATTTTTAGAGGCAGGGTCTTGCTGCGTTGCCCAGGCTGGACATGAACTCCTGGGATCGAACAATACTCTTGCCTGAGCCTCCGGAGTCCCTGGGGTTACAGGCCCGAGAGACCACACCTAGCTACCATCACACCCTAATGTGCCTGAGAGGAACCCAGGGAGCAGACCAGCTGTTCTCACCAGGACCCCAGGAGGCCAGGTGCAAGGGGCTCACCTGCTTCAGAATCTGACTCGAGACTTGATTCTGAGACCTCCACGTGGGTGCCCGCGGAGCTGGGATCTAAAATCCTTTCCAGCTCCTTGATCTCCTGTGTTATCTTCTCTCTTTCAGCATCTACATCCATGACTTCTGCCTGCCTCCAAAACACACCCCAAGATGTTAGAAACCAAGACTGTGCTGGGATCCCATTCTCCTTCACACACCTGCCCACAGGGGATGGCAGAGTCTGCTCGGCAGCGGGCACTGGGCTCCCCAGAGAAAGATGAACAGACCAGGCCCAGAATCAGGGAGCCCTGGAGTGGCAACCTCAGACCCCACGAACTCCTGCTATGTGCTCTGCCAGGAGCCTAAGCCCCAAGAACGTCTCCCGCCTGCTCTGAGGCTGCAACCAGCACAGGCAGGGAGTGGACGAACAGGGCAGGCCCCACTGTCCTGTCTCGGCTCCCACACCAAGCCACGCGGAAACTGGGCACCCAATATAGAAACAGTGGGGTGCAGAGGCAAAGTCACTACAGGGCAAGGACACAGCCTGTGACTCGCTTTGGCCATCCTGCTCTCCCATGGCACAGAGCCAGACCACAGAGGGCATCTGAGAAAAATTCAGAGACACACACTGAGACTGCCCAGGTGACAGGCACTTTCCCCATGGAAGGAAGCTCTCAAAGGCAACCCAAAGGCAAGGCTGGCTGTTCTCCGTGCATCCATAACAGCCCCTGGAATGTGGCAGTGCCTGAGACCGAACAAATGTCTGTCAAGCTTTTTCCTTAGGAACTGTGCTCTAGGAAGTCTGAAGGAAGAAGGACGCTAGAAAGAGAGAGTAGGAGAATGAAGCATCAGCAGAGAAAGTCTAAAGGAATCACTAGCACAGACCCGGGAGCCCAAAACACCCAACAACAAAGGGAAACGCCCTCCCCTGTCCTTGGCGTGGCTCTCCCTGCTGGACACTGACTGGGGCGCTGCCCAACTGGAACAAAAACCAAAGCATCCACCCGCCAGCACCGTTAGCCACATCAGCAGCCCAGGTCCCCTCACTCCTTCACGAAGCCCCTTGTTTATGCCCGAAATGCTTGTGAACCTGTAAACTCGGCTAACAGCTGGCCAGAAGCAGAGCTGGCAGCGACCGCAGGCCGGTTCAGAGCCTCCGGGCCGGCGGAGACGCTTTCCCCTGGAAGCCTCACGCAAGAGGCGGCTGCTGCCTCCCCTCCCCGAGTTGCTCAGGAGAGCAATGATCGGCAGGAAGGAGGTCAAAGTCACACGTGCTGAGCCACCGACATCAGGGGCTGTCCCTCTCCCCGCACCCCTCTCCCAAGGGCTGGTCATGAGGGCTGCCCACCAAAACGGAACGCAGCAGGCGGTCCCTCCCGCCCCAGCTGCGGGGACGCCACTCAGACTCAGCTTGGCCCAGGGAACCCCAGGAAGCGCCAGGGCGATGGGCGTTTAGGCACCGGCTTGGGAGACAGACCCGGCCCAGGCCCAGTTCCGCCTCCTGCTAGCTGCGGGACCTGGGGAAACCCCCTCCGAGGCTCGCCCACCGCAGAATCGACGGCGCAGTCCCCGAGACGCACGCGGGCACCCTGCAGCCGGGACCGCCCCGCCGACGCCTCCTCGGAGCCCGCGGGGGCCGCAGCCCGCTCGCAGCCGAGGGGCTCCCAGGCCCGGAATCCTCGCGCGCCCAGGCTCAGCCGGAACGGGGCCACGCCGGGCCTCAGTTTCCCCGACTCTGGACGCTGCCCCGCCCCCGTCCCGGGCCTCGGATGTCCGCTCCTCGGGACAGCGCCCCCTCCGCGGGGAGAGCCCAGGAGATGCCAGCGCCACCCGCGCCTTACCTGTTATGCGCAGACCTTACCTGCTCGCGCGGACCCAGCCGTCGCCCGGGCGACCGCAGACTCGACGCTTCCGGCGGCTGCAGAACAAGAGCGCCGCGCGCCGGAAGTCCCGCCTCCTGAAGCGCGGGGCACGCCGGGACGGCCGCTGCCCCTGCCTGGACTAGCGGCGCGAACGGCTCGATGCTGCCCTCGCGTGGCCGCCCTGGGGGCCGGCCTCCGCGTGCTCTGGAGGGACGCGGGTGGACGCGGGACCCCAAGGCAGGGGACAGGCGAGGACAGGCACCCGGCCACCTGGTCACGACCCGGAAGACCGGCCCTCACTGGCTGTGACCTTCGGTGGCCACCGCTGGACCTCTCTGTGCCTGTTTCATCCTCTGTTAACGGACATCTTGGGGTTTGGTTAAGCAGAGGATGAGAAAGTCTACGTGAAGGGCTTTTCCCGAGCCTGCCCTGCGTGCTCAGGACCGCCCAGGCCAGGCCGAGCTCCAGGCACGTGCAGGAGACTGAGGCCAGAGGGTGGGGGCCCACACCACGCAGAACTCGCTTCCCTGGTCACCTGTGCCCACCCTCTGGGCCCTCTAGGGTGTCCTGGCCTGGAGAGCTGCCCCGGGGACCTCCCCTAAGTGGGTCTTCATTCCTTCAGGAACGTGCCAGGGCTAACTCAGCCGGGAGCTGCGCAGGGGCCTACAGTTCCTGGTTCCTGAGAGCTTGTAAGCACCAGAGGTGCTGCAGACACATCCTGGGCCCAGCCAGTTGAGGGGACCTCCACTCCAGCCTGTGGAGGGCTGGGGGCACCAGCTGGAGAACTATAAAGGGAGTTTGCCCCGTCTACCCAGGAGGTGGGCTTTTGCTGGCAAAGGGCTAGGCGCCGGTGAGGCCAGGCTGGGAGCTAGGGATTGGCAAGAAACAGATGGAGGGGATGGAACCGGGCGGCTGTGGGCTCCTCGAGCGCCTTGTTCCAGTCCTTGTGTCGTGGTGACCTGCCTGAGTGGGGCTCGAAATCCGGAGGCAGAGGCAGGCAAGTTGTATTTTTTTTTTTTTTTTTTGAGACAGTCTCGCTCTGTCGCCCAGGCCGGACTGCAGTGGCACGATCTCGGCTCACTGCAAGCTCTGCCTCCCGGGTTCACGCCATTCTCCTGCCTCAGCCTCCCGAGTAGCTGGGCATACAGGTGCTTGCCACCACGTCTGGCTGATTTTTTATATTTTTGGTAGAGACGGGGTTTCACCGTGTTAGCCAGGATGGTCTCCATCTTCTGACCTTGTGATCCGCCCGCCTCGGCTCCCAAAGTGCTGGGATTACAGGCGTGAGCCACCGTGCCCGGCCTATAAGTTGCATTTTTAAACTTCTTACTATCAAACACTTTAAACACAGACAACAAAAGAGAGGGGTGTGCAAAACCCACATGCCCATCCCCACCGCGCTTCCCTGGGCCCCATCTGCTCCATGAGCCGCTGGCATGAGGGCTGGGGACCACCCTGCTTCACATGCATCTGGTGGATGGGACCTGCCTGGCCATCTGGCCTTTGTGACTCCCACCCCGTAAAACGCTCTCCCCCGAAGGGCCTCAGGGAAGGTCTGTGGCCTGAGGCATCCTCGCGGGATGTCCCCATCCTGCTGCTACAGGGCTCCCTGAGCTGCCTGCACACTCAGAACCTCATTCCGGCACTTTCCAACCACAGCACGCTGTCTCAAGTCAGCTCCGCTAGCGGAATCCAGAGCCTGCTTTCACCAACTGGCAGAAGCGGGAGGTGCGCGGGGCCAGGCAGCAGGGCCCTCCACAGTGGCTGCTGGAAAGCTCTGGCTTTCGCCTGTAGCTAAGACGAGGGGTCTAGCGGTTCAGACACCTTGTTTGAAAAATTCAGCCACGTGATCTGCAAGGATGATCCAACGCTAGAATCCGGTCTGTCCAGCTCTGAGATGTGGAGCTGCATGACTCACACGTCCATCCTGTATGGGTCCCTGTGGTCAGGCCCAGGCAGCAGTGGTCTGAGTCTGCCCCTGACCCTGAGGGCTGAGGACCTGACGAGAACCTGCCAGCACAAGGCACCAGTTAGGGCAAGAGCAAGTGAGGTGTGGAAGGCCACGACGTTCTCCAAGGACCAGCTAAGTCAGCAGAGAAGAGACAGTGCGGTGAACTGCAGAATTTATTAAATAAAAAAGCTATCATTTGGAACAGGAGGAAAAAAGAAAGTTTAAAAAAAAATCTATAGGAAAAAAGTCAAAAAGGCATTTAGTGTTTGTCAACTTCCCTCTGCGGGAGGCCGTCAGGAAGGCAGCTAGGACCTCACACACCCGGGCGGGCGGGCTCTGCACATACTTGAAATTCCTGAATTCTAAACTGCATTGTACCAAATGCTACTTGAAACCTCCACCAGAATCCCCAGCCAAAGAGGCGCATCTGGACAGCTTCATAGCACGGAATGTGTGGCCATGGTCCCCGTGGGTCCTGGGGGAGGACAGCAGCAGCTGTGCAGTGGCCCCTCCGCACTCGGGCCATGACCACAGGGACCAGCCGCTGGGGCCACCAGAGTGACCCGGGAGCCAGAGGGAGCCCTGAGTGTCGGCGGAAGGCACAGGTCCCTGCCCAGGGTGGCCACCTCAGAGGTGCATTTAGTGTTTGTTCTACTTACGAAAGCAAGGACAATCAATTGTACTTATCTTACAACAGATGTTCTGGGATGGGATTGGAAAACACTGATTCCAGAACCGCTTTTTCTTAAAATCGCTGGCTTTCATGACAGTGTCTTCCAAGAGCTCATCAGAATCTGTAACACCGCAGGAATTTCGCCACGAAGGGCTGCATAGAAACCACAGGGGCAGCTCGGCCAGGGCTGCTCCCATTGTGGTGGCCAAGAACTGGCTGAGGGCACGACACTGGACTCTTGCGATAAACACTTTACTCTGGGTGAAGACTGCGTATTTAAGGACACAACTGCACGTTCAGATCAAGCGGTGGTGATCTCAGGGCATACGCGGAACTTCATGCTGAAAACACCCAGGGGTCCTCAAGAGTCTTCCTCCTCATCTTTAATTTCAGAAATTCTGTCTATAGATTTAAGGATTTCAGCCACGAGATTCAGTGTCTCAGCTCCGGAAACCAGTTGCCTGAAAGCAAGCACGGATACCAGGATGGGCGGCAGCAGCTACTCGGCAGCAATGGGACTCGGGGGGGAGAAAGGGGAGGGGCTGGAGGGGAAGAAACGGGGGGTTCCACAGGGGAGGTCGGGGAGAACGGGGAGGGGTTCCAAGGGGTGGGGGAAGGGGAGAGGTTCTGAGTGGGAGGAAGGGGTGGGTCTCCAGGGGGAAGAATGGGGAGGGTTTCCATGGGGGGTGGGGGGGAGAAAGGGGAAGGGTTGGTATGGGGAAAAAGGGGAGAGGTTCTGAAGGGGAAGAGAGGGGAGGGATTCTGGGGAGGGTGGGGAAGGAAGGGGAGGGATTCCAGGGGGAAGAATGGGCAGGGTTTCCATGGTGGGGGAAGGCCTTGTTCCACAGGGGAAGGGTAGAACGGGGAGGGGTTCTGGGGGGAGAAAGGTGAGGAGTTCCAGGGAGAAAGGGACAGAGTTCTGTGGGGGAGAAACGGAAGAGGTTCCAGGGAGAAAGGGGTGGGGTTTGCCGGGAGGGAGAAAGGGACAGGGTTCTGGGGGAGAAAGAGACAGGGTTCTGGGGGAGAAAGGGACAGGGTTCTGGGGGAGAAAGGGACAGGGTTCTGGGGGAGAAAGGGGAGGGGTTCCAGGGAGAAAGCGGTGGGGTTTGTGGGGCAGAAAGGGACAGGATTCCTGGGAGAAAGGGAGGGGCTCAGGGGAGAACCACAGGTTTTCCACTCCTAGCTCCTCTTCGAGGAGACCCATACCTGACTTCACAGGAGACGGATCCCTTGTCCACAGGGAGTGCTCTGGGGGGCCAAAACCGCCCTGCAGAGCTCAGCCCAGTGGGCGGCAGACACTCACCACTGTCACAGTGATGGTGGCTGGCATGTCCCCAGCCAGGCACAGTAGTAAGGGCCTTCTGGGAATTTGCTTTTTCACCAGGAGGGAAACTACCACTATTTCCTTTATTCAGAGCTTTAGTGTCCACAGGTGGTGGGGCTGTCTGCACCTCCCAGGTGGGATCGGACACTGCGAGGCAGGTTAGAAAGCCTGTGGTCTGTCCACAAAGTGACCCAGAGAGCTATCGGGACCACTGAGCACGCATCCCTCCCTGCGGCTCCCTGGTCCTCCAGCCACGGTGCTGTCAGCCTGGGCCCCCACCCAGTATCACTGACGACCACTCCAATCTCACCCCTTTCCCTGCCAGGCTTCCCAGTGCCTCCCAGGCACTCACTTAATAGAAGCCTGTGCGCTGTTCATGACCACCCGGAGGTTCTGCAAGGCCACGTCGGCGTTCTGCTTCACCACAGTCAGGCTGGCGCCCTGGCCGCACCGCAGGGCTTCATTCTCTCGCTGGAAGTTGGAGACCTGCACCTGGGGGGACGGTTATGGCTAAGGAGAGAGCAGCTCCGAGGCAATCCGGATAAAAGTCACCACCCAGCAAGGCGAGGACTTACCCGTGGGGGCCTGGCACTCAGGATGGGTGCTCTGGCCTAACAGGGGGCTCGCCTCTGGGACTGGGGGCTTAACGGCTTCCCCTTCACTCCAGTATATGCCTAGCACCTAGCTCTATGGAAACAGGGACTCCCAAGTGGACGCCCCATGCCAGACCCCAAAGTCCCAACAGAACTCCAGGGCCTCCCTCTGCTTCAGGCCGGACAGGAAGCAGGTGCTGTCCCCATTTGAAGTCCTTTCTCTGCTTGGGCCCAGGGGAAACCCCAGCAGAGTCTTTTATCTCCGTCTGCTTGAATTCATTATCTATGTGACTCCACAGATCAAAGGAAAACACTGAAGTCCTTTCTTTAATTACCTGGAGCAAACTGATTTCCTGTTTCAGTTTCACGACGTGGTTTTCTGCCTTTACAGCCCGTTTCTGTTACCAAAAAAAAAAAAAACCTCACAAAAAG